AATGAGTAATATAAGTTTCGGATAAATTTTGGTTATAAATCACTGAAACTTATATAGTTAAATAGTAAATATAACTCTAAAATTAGTTATGAAGTTTTGGAAGAGTTAATATATTTTGAAGGGAATTTCAGTTTTCGGAAATAATTTCGGTTTCAGATTACGGAGTTTCAGATTTCGGAGATTTTTAAAATGATTATCAGCTGGCAATATTAATAAATACATAAATATTAATTCTATCATTACGGAATCATTTGGAAAAATACTTAGAAATCAACTCATGTGGAGGCATTCCTATTTTATTTTGACTTTCCCCTTTAGAATATTCTTCAATTTGGCTTTCAATTGATGTATCTTCCCTGATATCATTGATCTTTCAGAGTAAAAAGATGGTAGGAAGAATCTTTTCAAATAAGGATGGCCACCTTTCTCTAATCATAATCCTTAACTGATCAACTGTTTCGCCGGTAGAGATTTTAAGCGTAGTAATACTCCCTTCTGATAGATTTGATCTATCATTTACTTTGCAAGGTAAAAGAAGACAATTGAGAGTAATAATAGTATCAGACATCTTGCTTTCCTAAATACAAGACCCATGGTGAGAAAAACTCACTCACATAGATACATAGCTTCTGGCATATACATACCTCAATTATTTTTGCGAAAAGTTGGCTGAATTTCTACATACTCATACATTCTTTATATCTTACTGGGAAAAGTTAAGGAGGTATGAAGCGTAATTAGTATTGTTATATGATGCCAAGAGCTCTATAAAAGCACATGTAAACGGAATCCTCTTACCTTTTCACATGTAGATCTACTGGAAAGACATATAGTTGGTTTTACGCCTAGCGATCTCGAAATTGCAAAGTCCTCAGCCCTTCATAACATATGCTTTTATCGTCACAAGTTACTTATGGGACTGGTCCTGTGTTGCAACTAGACCTCCTTTCACATTTTTCTCATATTTGTTCAGGAAAAATAAAGAACAAAGGTTAATATGTTTTCTTTTTGAAATATATATGCAAAAATTAATATATTGCACAGACCATCAGCCTATTTTTTGTTATACGAATACATGCATTGTGGCTCAGCAAATTCTTCTGAGGTGACTGCATGAATTTAACGATAAACATTGCGCAAATTTAGCATACATGATCGAGGCTTGCGTTAGATATAACTTCTCAGTATACAATATTTTATTTAATAAATCAAGAAATAATAACTGATATATAAAAATTGATTGTAATCTGTATTGGATAGCACGAAGGACATTAACGAAACTAAATTTCACTCGTAATACATAGACTATACTAATTACTTTCGAGTTCATCTACCAGTTCTTTGATAGTTTCGATTTTTGACCATCGCGAATGAGATGGATTTTCTCAAGCACATTTTTTTGAGGAGGCAGATTTTGTACACCTGTTTGACTTAAAATCTACTGTGCAAATGGATCCACTTCCAAAATTTCTGATTTTTTGTGTTCTTCTCCCTTATATGTAAAAGAAATTGAGAGATCAAAGTCATCATCAATTTCTGTGACTACGCAATCATAAGTTTCCTTCCCTTTCGTATAACGTAATATATCCCTAGTTAGAATTTTCCCAGCTTTACATAGTTTTCTTAACAGTTTTCCTGATATACGGCGAGATGGTGAGTTCACATTATTATTCGTTATCAAATTACTCATCCCTGTAGTCATATTTTCGACTTCGCTGTCAATACAGCTAGTATAATTGACGTCTATTACTGAATATGTCAGAGAAGAATAGAAAAAATAATAAAAAAGTTTCATCTGATTCACTCACTTAATTCAGCCTCTTCTGCCAACTCTTCCCCTTTTGTATTTTATCAATGATACGTAAAATACGACCTGCCAGTCCTAGCTTCAATTCATAAGTTTTTAAGGCATCTAGAGTTAATGCAAGAAAATCTTCACCGAATATTTCCTGTTCTTGTAGAAAAGCAAGTGCACTTTTATCCAACTTTGCTTCAGCATTCTTTAAACATTAAACGAGAAAAGATGCATTGCGCAAATTTTTTATTTCTTTAATAGAAAGTATAGTCATTTTTTCAACAGGTGGAGTATTTTTTTCATATACAGGCAAACATATCTTTGAAATTAATGTATAGTCATATTTATATTTCAATTTTTACAGTCCTTCTTTCTCACGACAAACCCGTTATACGCCAAATGATCTGTTAATCACTGCGGTTAATGACTTTCAGCTTTCGGCATAGCGATCTCCTTACATTAGACTAATGCCTGATGATCTCAGAATTGCGAACCCACCAGCCTTTCATAATATATGCTTTTGTCAGTACTATTTACTTATAGGAAAGGTCCTGTGTTGCAACTAAACCCCCTTTCACATTTTTCTCACATTTGTTTAGGAAAAAAAAAATAGAGATATTGGTTAGCGAATATATATGTGAAATTAATATGTCGCATAGACCTATTATATGATCAGCCTATTTTGTTGCACAATTTGGCCGAAGGCACTGTGCATGGCTCAGCAAATTCTTCTGAGCTGAATGATCAATATTTCGGACACAAATTTGAATATATGCTAGTTAGGGATAAACACAATCATGATAAGCAATACTAATATTAGTTCTGATAAAAGCGAAGCTCAATTATATGAAGTGCTACATAAAGAGCTTTTATATGAAATACTTTTATATAAGAAGAAAGATATAATAGCTATTCAGAAAAAACTTGGTATGGCGATGGTCCCAAAGGAACCCCTATCTATTAATGACGATACAAATCAAACAGCATTGAATCAAAGCAAGAAAGGAAAAACACTTAAAGATTCATTTGGGCTGTTGTTTGATTTAGTGAAGGAATTAAAACTGATACATGAGAAAATCGATGGTCATCTCATCCTTACTAATGTTTCGGGCGAAACTTCTTTGTGATTGGTGAAACATTTCGCCTATTTTAGGTTTCGGTTTCGGCTATTCCGAAACTTTCGAAACCTAGCGTAATTTCCGAAATCTGGCAAAACGTCCGAAACATGGCGAAACTAAAAATGTCACGTGTATTATTTTAATTGGTGGTTAAATTTAGTGATGTTCATA